TCTTGCAACATGATGTGTGTGCGTGTGTCTGTGTGTTGTGTGTGAAGATCTTGATTGCCTTTTGCCATAGGCGAAATTTATAAGAGATGTATTTCTTTTATTTGTATGGCACTTTTTTTGTTTGCTGCCTTGGCTTTCGTTTTTGCTATGATAATTTCCGCAGTTGTTGCATTATATAAAACAAATGCAGTTGCCAGTTTGATTTGATGGCCGACTTTTCTTATACCCGAAACGATATAGAAACACGCTCGAAGCTGGGAATGTGTTGTATGCCGCGTACGACTTACGTATTGGAATTGACATTTTGGCCATTGGCCAACAAATGGAGATGGCAACAGAGGTAGAACGAGGTTCGAACTGCGAGCTACTCATTGCTTGTTATGCAATTGGCCGGACCCAGATATTTAAAACAACAAAAATTAAATATATATTAGTTTTATATATAGTTTAGCAATTTCAGATGTTTTCCAGATTTTATTTTCTCTATATATCTTTTGATAAGATACATATTTTTTTTATTTTCCTTGATTATCTCTCGTATAAATAGAGATAAATATTTTACTTATTTGTGCCAATTATATCTCATAAAATCATAGATAAAATCATCCTAATTTTTTGATTTGCAATATTAACCTTATTATTTAATAAATGCCTATTGGAACACACTAATTGGCTATGTACGGGAATTTCCCCGATTTCAGTTTCTTCGCTTAGCTCATTAAAATAAATGTTGCATACCGTAAGGCGCTGCCAGAAACAATTACAACAAGACCACAAAACAATTTCGGGACGACCGAATGCACTGGCCACGCCCACATGTGGGCATCATGCGGCAACGGCTTCAGCAACAGCAACAACAACAAACGCAACAACAAAGTGTGAAACGTTGCGAGTTAATTGAATTTTCGAGCGCGGCTGAAAACTGCAAAAACCTGCAGTCGAAAGTGTTTCTAGTTAGTTGTTTATGGCTCGCGTTTCTGTGGTTGTTGTAGTCCTTTCATTTTATACACTATTCACAAAGAGGGAAACGTGTATATTAGCTTTTTTCAAAGTCGATTGATTGCAGATGCTATACTATACCTATACCATACCTGACGTCCTTTTTTTCAAGCTGACTTTATCAATGAAAAGATTGTGCAAATCTTAATCTATTTTAAGATCGTAGCGATCTTGTTAGAAGGAACTGTCTCTATGTCTCTAGCTATCTATAGGCTCTCAGATCGACTCGGCTATTGATATTGTGTAAGAATATATATATACTCTATTTAGTCGGACATGCCTTCCTCTGCCTTTTGTGTACACTTAGAAACAATCATTGTATGCTTTTAACATTCAATTAATATCTTTCCCTCTGACAGCCGCTTAAATCGTGAAGACAGCAATATCTCTTCTAAGACAATAAAAGCACCGGCATATTCTTAAAGGAGGGTCATTTAAAATTGACACGCCCACATTCTTTGAGCACTCTTTATACTGAGCAGGGTATTGTGCAGTCGGAATAGTTTAACACAAATGTTTGCTCTTGTTGTTGTTTAAAGTAGTTGAATTGGCATAGTTGTTGCCGTCGTCGATGTTGTTACCGTCGCTGATGCTGTGTTCGTTGTTGTTGTTGTTTTTGCTGTTGTTGTTGTAGTTTTTATTGTTGTTGTTGCTATTTAGCTAGTGTGTTGGCTAGTTGGCTACTTATACAATTTCAGCTCGTTTGTTCTTTTCTTTTTTGGCTCGCCATGCGCGGCATTAGCTCAAAAAGTTGCCCATTAATGGCTGCACGGAATTCACTTTGGTTGCGATACATGTTCTATGTGTGTATATATATATATATATGTGTGTGTGTGTGTCTGTGTGTGGGCGCAGGAAAATGTGCTAAATTTTGTTGCTGGGCAAGGTTTTTAGTCGCTCAGGAATGTTGGACCTGGAGCTAAAGCTGAATCTGCTGTTGATTTTGATGCTACTCTGCAGCATGTTTGTATTTGGGTAACCGCTGACGTGGCTGCTGCCGCTGGCAACGCCTAGACCCCGGTCCCACTCCCACCCCTGCCACCCAGCCATAACCAGCTCTCGGGCAACGTTATCTGCGCGGCCCTGCGTTGTTTGATTGCGTAACAGGCGCTGCGCTCAACGGTTGCCGGCGTTTTTGTATGCCCCTACAGAACTTTGCACTTTGCACTTTGCGAATGCGAATGAGAATGGCAGCCGTCAGCTGCGTACTGCGCCGGAAGTCAATAAAAGTTGGCCTATTCCGCCGAAGGCAACGGCAACATCAGTCACCTCAGTCTGAGTCCATTCCGACTGCATGTTAACCAAATTAGCTGGAATTAGTTTGTGACTAACATTTTGCTTGACATGATTAAATTTGTTATTATTTGAATTGTTGTTGTTTGAAAAGCCGAGGCAAATATTCTATCTCAAAATTGAAAGCATTTCTCTAACCATTCCGAAAGATTCTAAGCTTCAGTCTGTAAGTTAAATTTGTTGTTATTAAATACATTAATCATGTTTTATTTTATTATATTGTTTTATTATTTAACTATGCAGTAAATGGATTTTGCTGGGCAATCCGATTAAAATCCAACTAATGTGAGTTCAAATCTTTCATATTTTTATAGCTTACGCCTGTCGCAGTTGCGAATTAACTAATTATCTTTATTTGTTTTTAAGAATCTCTTAGCATGGCTTTAATTTTAAAATAACGGAAACATTAAAAATATTTATTTCTTTTACAAACTACTGGAGAGAATTTCTTCGTGATGAAAAATTTCGATGTGGCGCCCTCTGTGTTACATAGTTCTAACTTAAAGCTTCTTCTCCATAGCAATTGGGCGTGGCAGGATAGGAAAGCTTTCACTAACATAGAAAGGGAATTTCAGGGGATGTCGCCTGCGATTTTAATGTACAGCGCCATCTGTTGTACGAACATTGCAAGCTTGAGTTGTCCTAGCCAGCGCCATCTGACGGCTTAGAAAAAACAAGGATAAGAGAAATTGGCGCTTGAAAGCACTGGAGCTTGAAAGCTCCAACGAAGCAACAGGCATAGCTGATATAAGGGCAAGTTGCAACAGACGCCGCAAAAGGAAAAGGAGAACAACTACAGTTAAAACAAAATACGAACCAAACGGAATAAGGATTGAATATGGAAACAGTAAAATAAGAAGAACAAAAAAAAACATAAAACGCACCCAAATATCTTCATTTAATTGCGTCCATTCCACATTTAGTTCCTCGTTCATGATGCAACGGCGATGCAAAAATTTCAAGTCGGTTATTAAGACCTTTGTCTGAACAAAGTCATGACATTTAAACGCCGGAGGCCAACCGTCCTTCTCCATTTGATATAAATTATAAGCACAACACAACTAAATACGTTTTTGAACTCAAAATAATGCCAACTTCAATTCAACTAATAAAACATATATATATATTAAAACAAACTCAAAATGTTTAACTCAAATTACAACTGCATTGATCAAAGGCAAACATGCGACTGAACTATTTCACGAGCCTGGCGCGCAGCATTTGCATGTGTGTGTGTGCGCATTGAACAGAGTCGCGCAGAGTTCGACTACGTTCTGTCTCGCTCGCACTGCAGCCGACTGCCGACTAGACACGTTCAGCACATTATGTTACAGCGTTTGCTGAATGTATGTGTGTGTTTATGTATGTCTGTAAGTTGAAATTGTTGTTGTAATCTTATGTTGAAATTCGCTGAAACTCATTTCGATACACCGTTTGGTGTCTGCATGCTGCGTGGGCGGGTGTTAGTGTGTGTGTATGTGTGTGTCTGTGTGTGTGTATGTTATGTTATTATTAACATAAATCGCTTGCGCTTGGATACGTCGATCATGGAGACGAGAAAAGATAGAGACTTTAAATGCAGCATGCATTGAATACTCTTCATAAGATCACGCGTATTTGGCGGGCAACCCACTTTGCCGTACATTTTCTATTGAATTTACAAATCAGAGGGAAAAGCATTTTGGATGGCAAAATAATAAAAAAGTTGAGTAGTCATAATTTTAACATGTTGGGAGCTGTCCGGTTAAGGGAGCTTCCAGTTTAAAAACTGCAGCATGGTGCAAGGTACTCCCAACTAGAACGCAAATATTCTGTTAGTTAATAAGATATCAAGTTAGTTTTAGGTATCGATATAGGTATCGATTATTATTTTCGCGATGATCGTTCGCTTTAAATTGTTCTCAAGTGCGCATGTCCGTTTTAAAAAATGGAATCAAGCAGCTGTAAACACATTAAAAACGATATATGCTAAACAAAAAAAAAGAAAGAAAGAAAGAAAATCAAATCACAAAATAAAAATGGGTAAGTGCAATATTTCGCAAAATACACAACTAAAGTTAAATATTGCAGACGCTCTTAAAACCAAATAAACTAAAAAGAAACTCAATGGCATATCAGAAATAAATCGCTTTGTCAAAAACCAAGAAATGCAGCTATTTCAGCGGGTTCAAAAGGAAAGCGTCAGAGAAGAGGACAATACGCTGACGTAGAGGAGGCTTATGCAAAGTTTTATCGGATCAATTTTATTCAAAGGCATATTGCCGATAATTTCATCAGTTTCACTTCTATTCACCTCACTTTCACTCGTCTATTGCCTAACCTGTACTCCTGTATTAGCCATATTTAAGCTCAAGAAATTTAAAAAAGATGTGACTATAAACACCAAAGTTATTAAAGAATATGTTTCCCATAGTCCATAGTCTGTTGGTCTGTCTCTCCATATGTCCGTCCGTCCGTATCTATAAAAGCCAGAGATTTGAAATTTTGTAGGTCTTTTACGAGTTTGTTTTCGATAATCGATAGCTTAGCCCGTTTCCAAGCCATCGATCAGAATCGATTTATAAATTCTGGTTTTTGAGCAAATCTCTTTGGCTTTAAGAGCTTGAGTCACCAATATTTACATTTACCTTCTAGAATAGTATACACAGATGAAGTATCTAGCTACAGCAATATGTAGCCAATTACTGCTAATAACATCAGTTACTCACCTGTCTCTGATGAAATTCCATCGCCGGCACGTTGCCATTTAGCTCAACGGCAGACATTTGTAAAACTGAATATTTTTAATATTTGCTTAATATTGTTTCTGTTTGTATTTTTTGTTTAGTTTGGCACTCTCATACACACAGTAACTTTTACACTTAGACCTTTACAATCTGCTTGTAATTTGACATCTGAAGGATTTCTTGGCCGTTTCTTTTACGTCGCACAGAATTTAGACAGTGACTTTTTCTAGCTGTTCCTTTTGTTGCAACTGTACGTGCCACGACCACAATAAGCAGGTTGCACGGTCGTGTTATCCAGAGAAATTTGTAAGACTCTCTTGGAATTTACAAGTAGCTTGTTTATTTGCGGCTTATTCACAGTTGTTGAATGGGTTTTTCATATCTCATTGGCGTTTATTGAACTGAAAGAAACAGAAACAAAATAATCCAAATGAAAATTCATTTAGTCTTTAAATATAAGTTGGTTACGTTAAAGGCAAGTGCTTAGAAAGAAAACTTTTGCTAACAATATATACTACGTCTGCATGTTTCTTCTATACGCTGTATATGCATATGGGTTATTTCAGCTAAGCAATCACATTTTTAAGTGAATTTCAGTTGATTTTATGGATTTTATGCCACGCTAACGTTGTGTGTGTGTGCGTGTGTGTGTGTGTGTGTGGCTGGGTGGCCAAATGGCAGGTGCTACAGCAACGGATGCTACATGTCGCATCGAGTTTTCTGAATTGAAAAAGTTAATAAGAGTTGATTCACATTTAGATGGTTAAAAGCCATTTCTATTGCCCGAATTTCGAGATTGTAATCAAATTCTTTTCGGATGAGTGAAATGGCAAAAATATGGCTCTGAGAAATCAATTTCAATTATGAATAGCACATGCTGCTGGAATGCGATTCGTGAATATTTAATTGACCGAAAAATGTTGAAAATTGTACTTTTTGGCTTTAATATCTACGCGGCGACATTAGGCCATTTATAGTTTTTATTATAAATACAGCCCAATCTAAAAATCACTTAAGCTAAGAAACATATACCACAGACTTTCGCTTGGTATAGATCTGAATATACTGTTCGATTCCAGCGTTTTATAAAACAAATTGATTTCTTAAAAAAAAAGATCCTAAGACGCATGAGTTTTCTTAAATGGAAATTTTACAAATGTAAGCATTCATTTATATAAATAATCTTTCTAATATTTTTAACCGAGTTGATATATGCTGACATTATCAGATTGATATGCTATTCGCTGTTTCATTTCAAATAAATGTGTAATCTATGCAAATCGCAGCCACTTGTGAATAATCCTCTCATGCCAAATGGCCCCCAGGAAAACTATCTTTCCTGGTTACGTAGGGATAGAAAATAAATGTAGAGCATAACTTTGTCTTAGCCAATATGCCATTAGAAGTGCATTTCCATTTTGTAGTTTATGCCACACAGAAGGAGAAGCGAGCTACAAATGGCCCTAATGGTCATTGGTAGCGACTGCTGTTGTTGCCTGTTGGCAGCCGGGGCTGAGTTTCGCTTTGGACTGCTGCCGTTTAACAAAATGCTGTTGCAATGTCTCCACAACTGTGTATATGTGGCAGCTACACACATCTAACTCTGTTTTACACACTTTGCTAACAATCTACCCGCCTACACTACTTTCTCATTTCTTCAAGGGTGGAAGGATGGTCGTGTTGTGTGCGAGTACCCGAAATGGCAAACGGAAATTGTGCATATTTCACTTAGCTTCAGCGCTGAAATGGCAAATGGCAAATGGCAGGCCAGCTAAGAGGTAAAAAGAGGAAACCAGCTAGCAAATATTTGTAAAATCAAACGGTCGGATTCTCGCTGCGTATCCCAACCACGCCTTCCCTGCTCCTCTGCTGCTCTTCCGTTTGGGGCTTATAAAACGTTAAGTGTAAATAAATTATTAGCGGAGCGTCAACCTGTGTGCTTTCCGTGTTAACCCTTGCCTGGAAACCAGCAGCGAGGGTTGTTCAGTTGGCAATCAATTTTAAATATTAATACCATTTTCGCATATTAAAAGAGATTTATCAATTTATGCACTTGCTAAGATGCTAAATACCCTAAAGAAAAAACAGATTGAAAATTAGCTAAAACTACTTTTGTTTTTTTTAAGAATATTTAATCCTATAAGATGATTATCTGCATGCTGACACTTAAAGCATCGATTGAGCAGATCTGTTGGCTATAACCTTTTGAGCTTCATTCTTCTTCACCTTGTTAGAATGTTCCTTGCCAGGTCGGTGGCTGTGGACCTTAGATGCTTGTCTGTTGACGACTTTGCCTATCATTTGATCCTTAAGGTCTCTTGCGATGATGCATATGACGATTACTGAGAGCTCTCTAGTGTTTAGATATTTGAAAGTGAATTACGAATCGGCCTTTAGATAAGAAACATGGTCTTTCAAAGCATAATCTAGTTCCTCAGGCGAAACTAAGAAGAATATTTCATGTAAGGTTTATGTTAGAAGTGGCGCATCCAATGGTTTATAAGTAACAATAATGACTATATGAAAAGCCCTCGTACAGTGAAACCTCTGCCGGGGGCATTGCAAAAATGTGCCATGTTTGCCAACAAGCAACGAGAGAAACGAGACAATTACCGCTGGGAACGCCGTCAGAGTCAACTCCCATTGCTGCTGCCGCTGCTGCTGCTGCTGCTGCTGCTGCTGCTGGGCAAACATGCAACTTTGAACAGCTATGCACACACACATCCAGACGCACACACACACACACACGTGCACAATGCAACACCAGCGATGAATGTGTGCCAACACAGAAAGGCAAAAACTAAAGCAGACATTTCAGTGCAAAAGTTTACGCTTTTTTCTTTTTGTCTCTGTGCGTGTGTGTGCGTGTGTGTGTGTGTGTGAGTGAGTGCAACGTGACTGTCGCCTGGGGGCGTGGCACCGTGGCCAATGTCTGCGTAGACAACGTGTTAAGCTTCAGTGGTTCGCCATTGCAAATGGGACACATTAGCAATGTAGCCAGCTGCAGCAAGCTGAGGGGGGATGGAATGGAATTTAAATGTAACCAAACATGGAGACATGCACCGAGGCAGGAACGGAGCCGGGGGCTGGCCGTGGAGCTATTGAGAAACAAACAGGCAAAAGCCCTGACGCTCGGTCTGAAGCCGTCTGTACGGCATGTGCCAAATGTGTCAGCAGTAAGGGAACAGCCGGCTGACTGATTCGCATGAAACGTTTCATTTTCGCGTCCAGCGACGAGCTCAGCAAATTAGTTGCAATTTTCTCGCTCCTTGTGTGTGAGCAAATGTATTTGAATTTTTGTGTATTCAATCAAATCAAGTGTGTGCTCGTACAGCGAAATGCCAAAAGAAATGCCTAACCTGCTTGAAGCATCATTAATGCCAATAGAAATCGAATTGACGTCTCTTTGAATTTATCAGCAATAAGTAGTTCTTTACAGAGCACACAGAAGATGTTTAGATCGATTTATACATGAGTTTCCTTTATGAGCCAAGTTTTATTAATCAGATTAAGTGTGGGAGGGACTTGCGATTATCAATTGGATATTAGAAAAGCATTATGTAGGCTAGTTATACTAAGTATCTGTTTTGTTAGGGCTTTGAGTGAAATCAGATTTTTATTTATTGTTTTAGTTAATTCAATCTGATTATTAATGCGATTTTTCACAGGTGTTTATTTCATTGAAATCGCCTAAAAATATTTAAAGCATACTTTTTGGGACATATACAATTATTAAGCGACCTTTAAAATCAGGCCATATGTCGTAGGTTCGGTTTAAAATTTAAGCTAGCTCCCCGAATAAATACATATGCATCATTTATCATACCACACAATTATCAAACTCAGGGTTACATACCCTTAAAAACTATATCGTTGGTTCGGTTTAAGCCTCGAACCAGCTCCATAAATATAGATAAGGTTTATCACATACGGGAGCCCAGATTTTATTTAAAGCTCAAGTTTACAAATGTTAACAATTTTCCTTTTTAGCCAAATTGGCATCAACCAAATGTGTCTAGATAAATCAAATGGTTGGAGCCCAAGTGAATTTTGTTTTGTTCCTGGATCTCAATCACGAATTTCTCGTTTGGAGTCCAACCATTATGTGAGAAAAGGGTCTGGCAATAAATCTTTGCGCAACTAGTCACTCATTTTCCAAATAAATTCTAAAAAGCGCAACTTATAGGAGTTCGCTCTCGAGAGACTTCATTTGCGGCGTTCGCATTTTGCCGCATGATTGCCGCCACGGGCTGAACTTCTGCTGCTTAATGCATTTGGCATTAGCCACACCTTATTGCCCTAATTCACCAGATCCAATAATGCAAAATAGTAGAAAGGTATTGAAAGTTCCAAGGACGAAGAATTTGCAACGTTTTTTTTTTTTTGGTTTTTTGTTTCTTTATAAACCTTTCTGCCTCCGGCCTCGGCGCTGACATCGTCTGTCTGTTTATTTTGCGCAAAAAGTTTTCGCGTTTGTTTGTTTATTTGTTTGTTTTGCTTGAAAACTCTTCAGCAGCGCCCAAGGCAATGCAACAACAACTAGAATAACAAAAAACAAAGTCAACAACAGCAGCAGCAACAAAAGGTTGCACTGCCACGCGTAGAATATTTCTAAGAGTTTCTCTTATGCTGCTGCATTCCGCGTGACTTTAAGCAAACATGTACAATCACACACACTCTAGAAACACACACACGCACACACTCACACACACACATACCCACGCCCACATCACGCTTTTGCTTTTGGCAACAAAGGCGCACTGTGAAGTTCAGGCCTCGGCTTGGTTTCCTAGCAGTTTTAACCCTGTAACCCAGCTAATAAAGGATATACCAAGCTGTTAAAATGCAAACAGGAAAATTAATTACATTTCCAAATGAATATATCTTTTGTAGGTTTTTTTTCATAATTTCGACACGAGCCAGATCTAGAACGCAAGATGTATATGAGTTCTTGATTGCGATGCACTAGCTGAATCAGGTGGGAACCTAGCATAGGAGCTAGCTTCTCAATTTTAAAGATATCTTGGCTATATATAAAAACTTCTGTTAACAGAAGTAATATGTCAATTATAGCTGAATCTTGTCTCTGTATTATACAGATAATACTGTATCGATGTGTCGAACATTGAGTTAATGTAAGAAAAAGAATTTGTAAATAAATAAATCCTATAACATGGTTACAATTGCTTATATTAACAGCTTTTGGTTTTAAATGTGTGAATTGAGGAATTTAATTGAGGAGTAACATTTTACACATTACAGGAAAGTCTAAGCCTATTTGCACTGCTCTAACTTATATCTGTTAGAAAAAACTGATCAGAATTTGTGCTTTTGTGTAAATAATATTCTATGTTTTCATATATTCATATTGCTGTTTTGTATCTGCGAGGGTAATTTAAAT